ATATATATATGTAGTTGTGTGTGTTTAAAAAGTAAGATTTGATGTTTTACACATCTTTCAAATACATTTTTAAAAAATATTTAAATCAAAAGTCGTGTTTTAACCTATGACCTGGATGTTGACGAACGTGATGATTTGACATTGATTTTACTGAAACTGGGAGAGTTTCAAATAAAAACAAAGAAAGGGGGAAAAATGAGGCGGCAAATAGAAAGCAGGGAGACACATGGAGCAGAGCTGCAGATTTCTTTTAAAGCGACACCGAATCTCCGTGTCCAATCCATGACCGGGGGACAAACTGAGCCAGGGGTCTTCCTCCTGATCAGGAAGAAATCACTTACATCTCCAAACATTTGAGCTAAAATCACTTCATCTAACACCAACTCACAGATCTGCAGGAAGATGTCAATGTGTTCAAAATGAAGGAGTTATTTGACTTTTTTTGGTTTCTCTTTAGTTTAATAAAAGCTGCTGGTTTCAAACAGGAAGCTGTCATCTTCACCGTGAAGTGAAGGAAAACATTTTATCATAGTAGATCAATGCTACATGTCTGTATAAGACTTTAATTGGCATTTTTGTACACAGATAAGTTATTTTTTTTGTTTCCAAGCAGAATATGTGTTGTTGCACAATTTCTATCATTTAAGTAATAATTGGGTCATTTTATTAGAAACAATAAAAATCAAACTTTGTTGTTTGAGTGACACTTTTATTTCATCTCAAAGCTTTTATTTCAATCTTAAAACAAGGACAGCTGTCAAAATACAGAATGTTTCAGTGTTTTAAATTCGAATGCTTCTAACTCAATCACTAATCACTTTAAAAGTTTGTAACCCAAACTCCTATGGGTTTTTTTTATAAATTACTAAAAAACAGTAATATTTATCACTTTTCTTTACAACTTCATTGTCAATCAGATTGTCTCCATTTATTTCATTTGATCTTTGCATCAATTTTTGTTTTAAAGCTTTCCACTTGATTTCCCCCAAAATGACTTACGTCGCTGCTCCTTCTTACAGCTGTTTTGTTTCAGAAGAAAGAAGAATTTTACTTTTTTCATTTTGATCTGAGGTCTCTGATTCATCGTTCTCCCTCAGACTCGGTTTACATCCAGCGGTTATTTTACTGACACATTGTCTGTTGAGCCAGTGTTCCGATGTAAACAAAGGATTTGTTACTGTTGGCAACAAAACCGGACTCTGCTGATTTTGCTCATATCACAGTTTATGTGGAGCTTTGGCAGTCAGGTCACCGATGCACTGGTTTTAGACAGATGATTTTACAAAACACATTGAAAAATGTAGCATATTGGCAGGTTCTGAATATTGTTCTTTTGAAGTTTTAGAACAACTAAATATTGCTAATTAAATTCTTTTGAACACTTTATACTTTTTTTTCTACTAAGTAAATTTAAGGGTGTTTTGTCTACATTATCTATGTTAATTTTGAGCCCAGTCTGACCTAACTCCATGTGCTTTTCAGACTCAAATGTAATGAAGCTGTTGCCATCATGAAGTATTTGATGAGGACATAGCTTCATATACATATACATACATATATGTGTGTGTGTGTGTGTGTGTATGTGTGTGTGTGTGTGTGTGTGTGTGTGTGTGTGTGTGTGTGTGTGTGTGTGTGTGTGT